TGAATAATGACAATTGGCAAAAAGTCAAAGGCAAAGGCGCAAAACGGCGGCGACACGAGAAGAGGCGGGGAAAATGATAAATGAATGCAGGTGGCGTCGTCTCCGAGTTTTGGGGGGAGGCTAATCGATTGACAACGACGAGAAAAAAAGACTAAAAGTTTTTAATGAATTTTCAAAAGGCGTTATAATCAAAAGGAAGAAGAACTTCCTACCCGATCCGTCCCTCTCCGAGCACTTCAAACGAATGACAGAGAGGGTATGAGTCGCGGTCTGGGTCTTGTTCTGGGTCTGGGGGCACGCCCGAGTAATTCAATAAAACTTTGCGACAAATGAAGCCAGCCACCGCCGGAGTTGAAGTTGTGTAGCCATAGCCGTAGTCGTAGTCGTAGCCGTAGCCGTGACTTCAATCAACTGGCGAGGGGAGCGAGCAGCGATGAGCCATGAGCAATGGAGCGATGGCTTGCAAATGAAAATCATTTCCTTCCATGTCATTATTATGTATTTTACCCCAGTCGCGGCGACGGTTTTCACTTTTCTGCCATTGACTTTGGCTTTGGCTTTGCCTTTGGCTTTGGCTTTGGCTCATCGACACAGATACAGATACAGATACAGAGATACAGAATCCCGTGCAGTTGAAGCTACAGATAAACTCACGAGGGATAGCAAATAAAAGCGTTTCGGCCGTGTATTTCGACTTAAAGATACCCACTACCACGATCCGTTCTTATCGTGGAATTGATTTGTGTTAAAAGAGAAGAAAATAATAAATGGTTCATGTGGCAACACACACACACACACTCTGTAATAATTATCCGATAGTGGGGATAATAGCATTAAGAAAGCATAATATAAAAGTGTGTATATCCTCGTTCTTATTGTGTTCTCCGATATCCAGGTGTTAATGCATACACTAACAGTGCGCCGTGCGTGGCTGCTGATCAGGAATGTACGATACATCGGGTGTACGAGCATCGGTATATCGTAGCAAATCCCAACTTCTGCTCCACCCGACGAGCCAACGAAATTTTACTTTGCCTGCCGTTTGTCTGGCGTTGTATGCTTTCCGTTTCCGCTTCCTTAGCCGTTTGCAGTTTTGTTGCTGACGCTGCTCCTTCGCCCTCGGCCTAGCCCTCTTCAGATCCGTCCTCCATCAGCATCCCTCCAGCCCAACGTCGGCGGCGGCAATTTGGAGAATTTTTCACATAAAAAATAATAAGAAAAGTTGTATGCTAATGTTGTTCTCCGCTGTGCGACTCCCCCTCCCCATCCTTCTCGTTACTGCTCTGCTCCGGTCTCGTTCCGCTGCGTGCTTTGTGTGCGTGCGTATTGGAAAAGAAGAAAAGAAGAAAAGAAATTGAAAAACAATTTTTGCATTTGGCATTTTCTCAGCGGGATGGAAGCGCGGGTGTGGCTGCTTGAATCAACTGGAGAAAGTTTCCAAAGAAGTTCTGGCTTAATCTTAAGAGCTGACTATAGCTGACTTTATCAGTAATTGTAACCCTAGAAGGGTTACACTTCGATATGTGTACACTGTACTAATGTTTGTTGTATATATTTTGATCCTTTATGAACCTACTGTTGAGCCACTAAGCTTCTTCAGAGGCGCAACTCGATTGATTCAAATAATCACAGCAACACAAAGAATTCGATAAAATGCTGTATTTGTTTTTGTTTCGCTTTGTAATCCCATGAAGACAGGGCCACTGTGCCAGACGACGGAACTTGTGCTCGCGCTGACGATCGCTGTTGATCGGTCCTGCTATGCAGACGAGCCTCCCTCGCAGCTCTCGCCGGTGACGAGCGATGAGAAAACAGGGAGACAGCGATTAAGAGCGTAGGGAGACGCAACTATGCAATAAAAACAACAACAAGCTGCGGTAGGTTCAGAGATCTGTTCTCTGTGATGCGTTTTGGGCTGCAACGGGCAGGCGCTCAGCCGAACACCTACATTTTGTATTATTAATTGTTTTTGAGCAATTACTGCTTATGCATATTGCTCATAGTGGTCATATGCAACTCCTGGTTCTGTCGGATCTGAAGATCTTAATAGCCTTACAATTAGGACTTTTTGCTTTTTGCTTGGGATCTCTAACTGCAGTTCCTTTCCTCTACCTTCCCTGAGTCGAAAACACAGAGTTGAATTTAAATACAACGTCAAAGCGATAAGTTAGTTGCTCTATCCCTCCGCTCTTGCTGCCATCACTATTGACAACCTTGGAAGATATTAACCCTTAACACAAACAGCCACCCACGAAATGAATTAAATCTTTAAAAGCAATTCCAAGCGGCGAGTTTCATCAACTTTTTAATTAGTTTTGCAATCGGAAAAATAGAATGGGAGGAGCGGAAACTTTCCGAGCCGAAGCTTTCCAGGCTGATGGAACAATCAGGGAGTCATACGGGGCTGCAAACTTTGCTTTATAATTTCAAAGGTAAATATTTATTTTCCTGCTAATGCCTCGTGGCCATAATCAACAGCTTCAAAATGCCAACCGAACCGAACCGAACCGAACCGAATAGAGCTGAGCAGAAATGAACCAAACCGAACCGAGCCGAACCGAAGCACACCGAACTAAACAGAACTGGACCGCGTCGCGCACTCTCTACAAAGTAATCAATTTTTTGAGGACACTCCAAAGCCCGACCGACTTTGGCAAAAGTTGTGTTGCAGTTCCCAGAGCCATCAGCAGGAACCCCATCCGTTCGGTTGCTCATCAGCCCCCACCCAGCTCATCCACCACAAAGTTCAGCCATCACCTGGACTCGCCGAGCGCCGCAGGCTCCGGGGCGGGGACGGGGCCTGGCCGGCCGATGGCTTCCCAAATGGCTCCCAACTGACTAGCTGACGGACGACTACCTGTCGTCATTTCGGTTGACGCTCTCACTCTTGTTGGCATACCCTTTCAGAGGGTAGTAGACCTTTCCCTGCACGTCGGTAAAGCTTGGAAGTAAATTTATACGGACCCACCAGCTGAGTTTCATTCTATCCGAATACTGCAATGGAATCGGCGTAACTCCTTAGTTATACGACAAGTGTAACTTTGCACGATTTCCCTTTGCAATAGCCAATAAAAATATATTTCAAAAAAGAGAAATGATAAAAGTTCGACAAACAAGAATATTCCATGAATATTATGAAATACAAGGGAGCATCGCGAACGATTAGTGTGTAAGGGTATCTACAGGTTCGGCTCCGAGTCGATTCTATCCCCAGGCTGTGGTCGCTGCCACTCCTGGTCTGCCCCTTTTCGTTGTTGTTGTTTTTCTTGTTGCTGGTGTTTTACGGTTGTGGGCGGAGTGCCGCCGCGCTGCCGAAAGTTTTTCCGCTAAAAAGTGGAAATGCTGCCTCACGTGCTATGAAATTTTTTATATTTGTTGATTTTTGGCTTAGAGTGTTGACCAAAAACAAAGTTCCAGTTGGCTTTTGTTTTTCAATTTGGAGTTGTTTTTTTTTGCACTCACTTTTACCTCCTTTTCCTCCTTTTGTGTTTGTTTGTGCTTCGCTTTCAATGAGCGTCCCGGTGGGGGCCCGGCACCCATCAATATGAACCCTTTGACGTTTTGGGTTACATGTTGGGCTGTGCGGTTGGTGGAGGATGTTGGCACCCCGTGCCCAGTACTTACTCCCTGCCTCGCGATGCGTTTGCGTTTTTAATAACTAAATATCCTTTGTCAGCCCGCTGGACTGCACTTTAATTTGATTGGAGCGCCTCTATTTGGGGCTCGGCGAGCCCCCATCCATCCCCTTATTGGCTTCCTGCTGCCAACTCCGCTGGAACGGCGACCACTATCTGAAATGACTCAAAAGTCAAAAGGCTGCGCTGCCCTTTTGCGATTCGCTGGAACATCAAAAGCTCTTTCATCGATATCACTTGTAACTTTCGAGAGTTGGAAAACTTCGGCAGCACTTCTGGCCAATCTGGTCACAAGGATGAAAGGTCTTTGACCAAATTTGGGGTTTGCCCTGGTCATCAATAATATGATTCACACGCTGCGATTGACATGTACATCCATATACATACGCACATATATGAAAGAGATATGATACCTCGAGAACAAAATGAATATTAGGTGGAGGTTGTACTGTTTGGGCTGTGGTTTAAATTATGTTCTTCCATTTAAATCCAAAACAAAGCTCGAGCTCTCCAAACTTAATGTAATCCACTTTCTCGTGGAGCTGCCCCACAGCCTGCTACATTATACTTATTAGCTTTCGATTTGCGTAGTGGCTTTAGCTAAATGCCACGGGTGCGGGCACGTGCCGAGCAGGAGCAAGAGCGAGAGCGAGCAGCGTTCGCCGAACGTTTTTTAAGAGAAGTCTGCCCGTTGCCGGTGGCGTCGCCGGTGCCGGTGCCGGTGCCGGTGCCGGAGCTGGAGCCTGCCCGAGGAGGACGAGGACTTAAACTAGTGCTCTCCTGGCTGATGGTGGTGTGACAGGCATATTAAAAAGGACACCGCCAACAGCATGTCCCCAGCATGACGTGCCAAAAACTAAGTAGTGTCAGCATGGCAATCAAAAGGCAGGCCACGGCTCCCATTCCACGTGCAGGTGTGCGGCCAGGACCCGGGATCTTACCCGCATTTCTCTCACTCCTCGCCTGCTCGCCTGCTCACCATTCACCATTCTTCGCCTCAAATAGGCAGTTGGCATTACATGCCTTTTGTGTTGCCGGTGCGCCTGGATACGCAAAGAGATTGGTTCGGTTACGTTGCGTTGCCTTGCGTTGGGGCTTGGTTAGGCTGGTGATGGCTACGAGATGGAGATGGAGTTGAAGGTGTAGATGGGGCTGGGGCTGGGGTTGTGCGGTAACCAAACAGCACATTGCTCTTAGAGCACGTTGTTTTAGCCTAAGTGACGGGCGTGGCCGTGGGCCGACTCAATTGTTGCCCAGAATGGAACTGTTTTACTTACCCTCCTCAGAGGCTCCATAGCGATCTCCCATTCGCCCCACTTATAAAAGAGTCCATTTGGTTGTGTTTTAAATATTATGCACGGACGTTTATTGAAATGGTATTTCTTTGTGTCTTGCAATACAAATCATAGGAATAACTTAGGCCCTAATGCAAACTGCTTAAGTATATTACACAAAAAAACTAACTGAGAAGGGGAGGGGACTTTATCGCATGTGCACTAACATTAGATAAATATGTAGAGTCTTACTAGCACTACGGTTCTTAGACATGTACGTACACGTTAATACACTTGCATAGATATACGTTTCGTTTCGGTATTTTATTGGTATCCCACTAGTATTTATAATGACTGCAACTTCAAGAGCTCTCCTCTCTCTCCTTCCCGTACATACTGGGCCTACTGGGCATACTGGGCATACTGGGGTTTGGTTCCTATCCTAGTACTGGGGCTATGCATGCTTACTATCCGTATGTTTAGTTTTAGTTTTTGTTGAAGTTCTGCAAGAACCCATTTGGATTCTCATTGAAACTTTTACCTGTTCTCTACTGGGCTTGGCTCTTCCTACAGAGCGAAGGTGCTAGTGTCTCTAACAGGGGGACTTAGGGGTGTGTGTACTCGTATGTTCTGTATCTTATAATGTTTGCATTGAAATGTCACTTGTCTCCTTACACGCTAGCCTATCAATAAGTGCTACATAGGGCATAGAGCATCGTCGGGCAGTTGGGTAGTTCCGGTAGTTCCTCTTTTTCAAAGATCTTCTGCTTGCGTTACCCAACGCACCCGACGGCACCTCTTGCACTCCTTCTGCATAAATAACTATCTTCATACACATAATAAGAATACGTGCGGGGGATCTTCTACGAGTAGATGCGAGCCCCGCTCTAGGCGCTACCATTTAAATATGTCTTTGGGAACAGAGTGGACGACGTGGTCTGCTGGAATATCTTGCGACGTCGCCTCTTGTTGTATTTACAGGTCTTGGCATGCTTCAGCACCGCTGGTTAAACATATCTGGTAATCTGGGTGTGGAACTCCGAGAGGCAGATCTGCAGTTGGCTGAACGAGGGTCGCTCGGCCGGCATCGAGGCCCAGCAATAGGCCATGATCGTAAAGCTGCAGGTGATGAGAAAACAAAGACAATGCCCACAGTTTAGTAAACGAAACACAAAGAAACCTAGTCTAAGGGGGCTGTTGCGTCTGCAAAAATATACATAGGTATACAAATAAGGGGCTGAGGTATACTTACAGCTCGTCGGGACAATTAAAGGGCTGAGCTAGTCGATAGCCATCCTTGAGATAGTGCTCCATCTCATAGGGATCGATCTCGGCGTAGGGCAGCTTGCCCAGCGTGCACATCTCCCACATGAGGACGCCGAAGGACCACACATCGCTGCCCTCGTTGTAGTGGGACTTCTGAAGGGCCTCCAGGGAGAGCCACTTGATGGGTCGATACTCGCCGTCGCCCAGGCAGTTGTAGTCCCCGGAAAACAGGTCCCGACTAAGGGCGCTGTCCGTTAGCTTCACGCGCAACTGATCGTCAATACTGAGGGAGAAAAGAGGGAGGATGGCGGAGGCGTTCCTTAGATTGTAGCTCGGCACAGGGGCATCTGGAGATCCCATTTGGGATTGGGACTCAGCTTGGGCTCAACTTACACACAGTTCCTGGCCGCTATGTCCTTGTGGATGACGCCGTGGTTATGCAAGTGCTCCATCGCCATGGCCAGCTGGGAGGCCATTAGCACCGTCTGAATGGTGGTGACACTGCGTGCGTAGGAGGGGTCCTGCAGGAAGGTCTTCAGGTTGCGGACACTGCCCGTGGCCGCGTAGAGGACGAACGGGGTGGCGTAGTCCTCGATGGAGATGCCCAGCACGGAGAGAACGTTCGGATGGATGGCCTCGTAGAGCATCATGGACTCCTGGAGCAGGAGATTCACTTGCAGCTGGCTGGCGTGTTGCGCCACAGTTTTAACCAGAACCTCCTGACAGTCATTGTAAGTGCCGCGATAGATGCGCCCAAAGTTTCCCTCCTGCACGAGACAGGAGAGACGCACGCGGCACTTCTGGACTGTCAGCTCCTGGAGACGGCGGTTGAACTCCTCAGGCTCATGCTCATATTCGCGAAATGGCCGCGTCAGGGTCGCGTATGTGGGCGTTATGGTCGAGGGGCAGACATAGATCGAGTTGTGGGCCGTGGACGAAATCGTGGGCAGGCGCTGGAAGCTGGAGGTCTTGATCAAGTGCACCCCGTTCGAGGGATGGCGCTTGGAGGGACCCTTGGCGCAGTAAGCGATCAGAATGAGGGTGGACACGAGGACCAGGGCCAGGATGCCGCCCACAATCAGCGTGACCAGGCCACTGGCCGGCGGCACCAGGTTCTCCCTCAGCATGGGATCGAAGTCCCGCTTGGACCCTCCCGCATTGCCATTGCCGTTGCCATTGCCTCGACCCACATTCAGTGACGGCTCGGTCACCACGTTTCGGTGCTTCACCTTGTCGTGATCCACGCTGGGAGCCAAGTGCCCATTAGCCACCACGTGCTCCTCGTTGTGGTCGACATATTGAACGTCCTCGTGGCCGCCCAGGGCCGGCTGCAGCACGTCGTCGTCGTCGTACTCTTCGTGGGCGCTGTCCTGCTCCTCCTTCAGGCAGATCTTCTTGCGCTTGAAGATCAGGTTCGTGTTGTTGTTGGTGGTCCTGTCGAGGATCACCTCCACGTTTATGGTGACGGTGACCTCGGCGTTGCGCGTGCCCGAGCATTTGAGGGCGATGCCCCAGGTCTGCGGCTCCTGCGGCACGTCACCGATCCGGGAGATGTTCAGCAGTGGGCGGGGCAGCACGTCCGTGTCCGAAGTGGCTATGTTGATGCTGTACGGCAGCGGGTGCTCCACCAGCGACTGCCAGGTAAAGGTCACGTCGCTGATATTGGCCGGCACAGGAACTGCGAAGTTCAGGGCGTAATCGTTGATGGCTCCCTCCCGCACATAGTACAGCTCCGCGGAGACGCCTTCAAAGAAAGAGAGAGACGGAAATCTTATAGCAATGCTTGTACTGTGACTGCGACTGTGACTGTGACCCCCAAATCAATATCCGACCCCCGAGGAAATGAATCCGTACCCCTTCCCTATCAGGGAAGAACTTTTCGCCAAGTCACACTAGACGGCTGCATAATCAATCACCAGGGATAACCGTCTTCCTTGTGGGCGGGCGGGGGCGAGGGCGTGGTAAATTGATTCCCCCCCCCCCCCCCTTAATCGGGACTCGGCCAATATCTGTCCATCGAGACACTACAGTGACAGATTGAAGGAGTTAAATGGCAGCCGGCTCGCTTCAAAGTGCTTGTCTCCCACGTTCCCTTTTGTTTGGATAACAGCCTTGGAACAAGGAGGAAAGTATCCTTAAAGTGTCCTTAAACACAGCCAAACCGGGCAGGTAACGTTCCACCCTAAAAGCAGAGAGCATTGAAGGTAACCCGCTTATAATAGACACCTGTCCAAGGGTCTGGTCGCCATTGTATCTAAATTGATCTGATAGTTTTGACAGCTTGTGCATGTTGCATGTTGCCCCGCACCATGAGGCTGGGACTGGGACTGCTGCAGAGGCAGCTTGTAACTGCTACCTGTCTGACAATGCATTTTTAATTAAATTAGCCGTGCGATTACTCGGGCTAAGGGGTGACGGCAACCCCTCCCTCGCACCGATCCATGCCTGGCGTGGCGCTCAATAAATCAATCAAAATTTAGGACCCGAGCGGACCCCTGGCCAAGACACGCGACTCCGACTCTCTGCCTCCCGCGGAGGCGTGGCTCGGTGGGCAGGTTAAATGTTCATGCTTAATTAAGGCTGCCCTGCCCCTGCCCCTGCCACTGCCACTGCCCCTGCAAATGCCCCTGCCTAGCTGCTGCATGTGTGCGTTGCATGCCCCGTCTGCAGCAAGAGGCAATGTTTATTTTAGATTTTTATCGCAGTTGCCGCTGCCGTTGCCGTTGCCCCGTCGCAGTTACATTTTATTCTTTTACATTTTATTTTAATTTATGCCACTTATGCTTCGGCCTATTCATAGCACCCACAGCGCAGGAGAGAGAGAGAGAGAGAGGGAAGCTAGTGCATAAAGCGGTCTACATATTCATATATACTTATATCGTACTAATTAGTGGGGACAAGCCCGGCACCCAGACCAGGCACTCCAGCACTGCCTCTCCGGTTCCTTGCACGCTTCGTTTGCACTCTGAAAATGTAATTAGTAGCGATGTCCTGGGAGGGAGGGGAGCTGGAGCTGGCGCTGGAGTTCGAGGTGGAGTTCGAGGTTTAAGGGTAGATATGAAAAACTGTCGCATAATGAACTCAGTCGGCGGAGATAGAGAGCTGATGATAACTGCATCACGGCAGGGGGGTCAAAGGGTTAATGGGCCTCAGACATGTGGAGGTGCAGCTCATTGAGTGTAGCAAAGCACAGAAATTAAAGAAAATCCCAGAGAAAACTCTTCTGCTCCCTCTCTTGAAACTTTGGGAACAATTACAATTGAAAATACAGCCACCAGCCACCAGCCAGCAACCCCGTGTCCCCACCCCTTGCAATCATAGACAAGTAATAGCAATTTACTTGGACCCTTTACTCAGCCCCTCGCGACGCGTTTTGCATTTCAACTCCAGGGTCTAGTGCTAATTAGTGCTGATTGCCCAACAAATGAAGTCGATGCCAAGCAGGGCAGGGCGGGGCAGGGCTGGCAGGGCAGGCAGGGCAGGTGCCGTGAGGAAAATCGATTTTCCCCAGCATCCATCAATCGTGGAGGCAGCGCGTCGGCAGCTGGGAGGGTGTGGAGCAGCAGCCCCCGAAAAACTTCTGCTTCAAGTGCCACTGACACATAAATTCGAAGCGCGGCGAAAAGTAAAAGTTTTGAAAACTGCGCGAATGAAAATAAGAAAAACGGATAAAAGGGAGGCGAAAGCAATTGCGTCTCCCGCTGCGCCAGTCGCCACTGGGCGATGGAAGAGTTGACTTCTAGCAGGAAAGTCTCCGCCGGAAAGCGGGCAAAAAGTGGCTTTAATTTGGCCAAAAATAACTCGCAAACTCGTTCTCCACCGTTGGGAGACATCTCTTCAACTGCTCCAGCACCAGAACAGCTTCCAGACTCCCAGTCGCAGTCACAGCCACAGCCACAGCCTCAACGAAAGCGATTTGAATTCATGGCACGACATCTATTTAATTTCAATTACAACCCTAAAAACGCCATGGCTAACGCATAAACCGAAAAGAGGAGAAAGAATTGCCAATTTTTTGAGCTCCCAATAGCCTCGGAATGCTCGTGCGAGTGTCCCCCTGCCCCTCCCGAGGCCTTTCAGCAACCCGTCCGGACCCTAATTTATGCAAACCCAAGCCAGACACGAGTGAGATTTCCAGACCAGAGCAGACCAGAGCAGACCAGAGCAGACCCGAGCCAGACAAGACCATAGCCAGACCATGTCATACGAGTTGTGGGTAGTTTGGATATCATTTTATGCTTTCTTAACATATTTTTTCTGTTGTTCGTTCGCCCACATTGCGTCACTCTGGCTCTCTCGTAGTCGCGTCTGTGGGGTTTTGGGACTGGGTTTGAGTTTGAGTTTGGATCTGGTGGGGGATTTCGCAGGCCATAAATCCGAAATTGTCTTTTGACACATGAATATGTTGTGCATTAAAGCAGACCCCAAGCGAGGGCCTGGTCCCAAACATTGGCGCTGGAGAGGGTGTGAGGGAGAGAGGGAGAGTTGGAGAGTGAGCGAGCGAGGGTGAGGGTGTCTAAAGTCAGACGACATTTTTATTATTATCTGGGGGGAGTTATCTGAATCGGCCCGCGGCTGATGATGACATTTGGTTGGGCATTGGCCTAGAAGCTGATGCTGATTTAGGGCCGCCCTCGGAAGGGCTGTCCGGGGGGCAGGGGTAGAGAGACAAGGGTTGTGCAGACATCTAATGGGTTTTGCCATTTCAATCTCCATCTACATACGAAGACAGAGCCGCAAATTTGTCTAAGCCAAAGGCAGGCACATCATAACTCAAGCTCCCTCCCTTTCCTCTCTCGCTCTTCCTTTGATGCTCAAACTAACTCCTTAAATGCATCTTGCAATTCTCCAAATTATATGTTAGTCGAGGATGCTGATTAAATCGCACTGGAGTCCACTGGAGTCTGACTCCGACTCCGACTCCGACTCTGAGTCTCACCATAAAAGGTCAAGAGCAGACATGGAAGCCTGGTGCCTGGTGCCTGGTGCCTGGTTTCTGCACAGGGAGCGAGCAGAGAGCAGGGAGGAGGGAGCGGGCAGACAGCTAGCGAAGACCAAGGTAAGGCAATTTTTATGCTCAAATGGTCATGATTCGTGCTTGGCTGGCTTCGTGGGTAAGGCCTCTTCGCACAGCGCTGTCTGACCAAACAACTTATCATCAGCTTGCCCATCTCCACTCCGCTCCGCTCCACTCGGATCCGATCCGCAGAGCGTCAGAGTGTAAGACAAACAAGCCAAAGGACATGTGAAGTGACTCCAGCTCCGGCGAGGCAGCGTTGGGGCCCTCTGACAGTCTGCCAGTCAGCCAGTCTGCCAGTCAGTGGCAGGCTGTGTGGCAACTTCATCCAGTAGCTGCCAAGTATTTCTATTTGTATTTCATCGCCCGCTCGAGCAGCTGCAATTTATTTTCCCCGGTCCCTTCCAGCCTCTCCGACTGCGTCTGCGTCTGCGTCTGTTTCTGAGTCTGGGCCTGGTTCTGCAACCGTGATGTTGGAGCTGTTGCTGCTGCTTCTGCTGCAGCTTCTGCTGGTTCTGTTCTTTTCCTTTCGTATTTCCCGCCTGCAGCACAAACGCACTCATCATGTACCAGTCCTGCTCTGCAACGCTCCACCTCCAGAGCTGTGTATTTTCTTTTACATTATCACCTCGACGCGGCCTCTTCATCGGAGACTGCCCCTTTCCCGCTCTTTGCCCGGTCAACACCATAAATTCTGCGAGGCAGCCTGCAGTGGTGCATAAATTATGTTACCAAACGCCTGTAGATTTCTATGACAAAGCCCATAAAAGAAACGCATTACATTTATGGTTCTTGCAGGCTTTGCAAAAGGCAATGGGAATGGGAATGGGAATGTCTGTCCAAGCTTCGTTAGGTCTCTTCAGTTTCTTTCAATTAAAAATGTTAATTCCGTCTGTACTGGGAAAGGGCTCAGGATCGGAATCGGAGAGAGCAATGACTGGGGGCAATAAACTTCTCTTCCACTGATATTCGAGCATATGATTGTGATTCAGAGATATGATTTATCACAGAGATCCGTGGCCTTCTTGTATCATGAAATCAATGGTGTAATAATCCTCGAACAATTCACGATACTCTTACAAATTATAAAAAATAAATTAAATTTGTCAAAAGGACTTTAGTATCGCTCCCCCAAGCCACCGCACACCACACCGCACCTCGCCTGAACCCATCTGGGTCAAGACACTTAAACAGCTTAATTATTCCCCCACTAATCTGTAATTAATCTAATGTCCGAACTACTTGGCCGATATCTGCTTCAAAATACACCCTTCGGCAGGCACTTGAGCAGGTGCGCTTCGGGGGAAATGGCAACGGCAACGCCAACCCCAGGGCCAACCCCAACGCCAACGCCAACCCCAACCAAGCCGCAACTAGGCTCCCCCATTGGCACTCCTACTCCGGGATGGCAGCCGATGCTCGGCGAGGCGATGCGACGTGATGTGAAGTGAGTGCCATGAACTCATAAAAAAATCAAAAGGAGCATTAACAGGGAAGGTCTTAAATTTAATGTGATTATCTGTAGGAGTAAATGTGATTATTAACCGAGAGACCAGATAGCAGGCAGCAACACTCGACGGCAGCGGCAACAGCAACAGCAACAGCAACAGCCGCAGGGAATCGTGGCAGATACCTGTATGGCAACACCCACACACATCCATCAGTCCTGCCCCTTCATCCCCATCCCCATACCAATCCCCATCAGCTCTCCCATGACAGTGATTTCT